GTAGTGAGAAGCATGAAGATATACTTGTTTCAGGACCCTGTCACAAAGCTGGAGAATATATGGAGGAATATTCTGAAGTTTGCACTTCAGAAACCCAAGCTTTCACTGGAGTACTTGGACAAGGAAGCAACCATTAATTACATACAGACAAGAGGGAATGTGCATTATCTTGGAAAGAGACCTTTTGCAGAGCATCCTGCACAAGCAAGACTTTATACAATTAAAAAAAGAAAGTTGTCATGTAACTCAGTCATTGTAAGTTGTCCTCCACTTTTGAAAAAGCAATCACCGCACTACCAGCACTTTGGTGTAATGGGCAATTTTTTAAAAAAAGCAAAAGTTGTAGAAAGTACTAAAACAAGGACAAGACAGAGTGACAGTGACTATGTGTGAGAGTATAAAATTTCACTTGGAATTGAATTCTTCCTCAGTTCTACTGTGTAGCAGTTTAAGACTTGTGGAGCAATGTGTGGAGTCTGTCCCTTCAAGAGTACGTAACAGTCTCAGAAAGCATCCCCTGCTCCCAAAAACATGATGTAGTGCAGAGATGAAGAACATGTAACCCTCCAAAGGGTTGTTGACTTTTGTCTATCCATCCCTCCCTCTCCAATACTCAAGTGTTCTGCTGCTGCTTAGTAGGCTCATTCTTCCACTGTGGAGTTTTCTCAGGTTCAGACAAGTTGATTAAATGGTACCAATTGGCTACATTTTGTCACCCAAGAAATGAGTTATTTCATAGTGTATCCGCTCCATCTTACCATAAGCAAACAACGGTGTCACATTAATACTTAGCTGCTCATATTTTGTCTCTGTTCCAATTTAGGCCAAGATTTTGGAAGATATTCATGATTTTCAGGGTACAACTAAGGACTGAGCAGTACATAATGCTTCTGATCAGTTCACCTAGAAATTAACGCCTCTTCATCTTAAAAGGTTCTGAAACATGGCTTTGCAGAAGTTAAGATGCATATGTGTGACACACACAGAGCACAAGGAAGAATAAGCAGTTTCAAACTCTGATTAACATCAAATCTTTGTTAGTATTCATTATCATTTAAAATCAGTATGGACATAACCCTTAGTCATGGTTAAGGTTATAGTGGAAATTTATATGGAATGTAGAAGGCAAGAAGGATATTTTATCCTACAGATACATTCCCCTTACTATGACTGAGAGATCAGGATAAGTATATGTCTACTGCCCCGTTTTTCAAGTTGATACTAGCAGGAACTACCCCTCTGGCCTTATTTTCAAAGACAATCTTGCAGCTTACTGATGATTCTGATGATCTTGGTACCTACATCTAAATTTGTACATTTCATATATAAGAGACTATTTCCTTGTTCACTATTTATATCTTTTAGCCAGTGTTTGGATTCCCCCTGCCAACTCATTAGAAATGTTCCTCAGATTAGTGTTTTAGTTTCAGTTAACTAATTCTGTTCTTAATAATTGCAAAAAGTTGCCATAATCTGTTTTAGATAAACAAAACATTTAAGCCACAGAAGGTCATTAAAGGAAAACAGCAGGTTAACATTCAGTGGAATCTCTCTTTAACAAGGAATTTTAATAACTTGATAAAAACATACTGGATTTGCTGCTAAAGTGCAACATAAATTATAAAGATAAAATTTTAATACATTATTATAACTTCAATTCTGATTTACTTACTATATTTCATGTGTGGCGAGATAGACAGAGAGAGAATATACATGCAGAGAGAACTACTGGATAGCTAAATGGTTTAGGTATCTTGCTGAAGAGTCAGAGGTTACAGGCTGGATTTGATGATCACTCTGACAATTGCTTTGTGTTTGGGTGAGAAGTGGTTAAATGATGAAAAAAGCAGTTATGTTCAGGGATTTTTTTTCCTGCTTAGTGTCTCTTTGTGATCTTCTCTTTGTGATAGTAAGCACAAGAGGGCATTCTGCAGACCAGCCTGACTGCTGACATGGGTGTCATCCCTACATTCAGGCTGCCCTTTGCTAGGGAAAGTTTGGCATCTTTTCTTCTGCAGGCAACATAGGCACAATATCATGCAACAGTATCAGGCCATTTCTCGGTGCTTTGAATCATGAATACAGAAGCACAAGAACTCACACTCATAAACTAGAGGTTTTTTTTTTAAAAGAAATGGATTTTTGTTTGCAATGAAACACTTTTCAGGTGATTGGGATATTTTAAAACATTGCCATCATTTACTATGAGCCCAGCCGGCTCAAGGTTGACTCAGCCTTCCATCCTTCCGAGGTCGGTAAAATGAGTACCCAGCTTGCTGGGGGGGCAATGTGTAGCCTGTATAATTACAAATTGTAAACCGCCCGGAGAGTGCTTGTAGCGCTATGGGGCGGTATATAAGTCCAATAAATAAATAAATAAATAAATAATATTTGATCTATGTATTTTGTGTTTCTGTTTTTGGCTTTTCTACTGTTCAGGCTTAGTCATAAGTCTAACATGTGGTTAGCTGAAACTTTTCAACAGCCATGAATTTCTGGGTGTTTGACCTAACAAAACTCTACAGAAACACTGCTGTGCAGTGCACTTAGCACTCTATAGATGTGTTCAGGGAACTGAGCTACGGCAATAAATCTAATTTCTCCAAAGGAACTTAGAAAGTGTGTAACAGAAGATGTCTCAGAGATTCTTGGGCATAGGTGATGAGGACAAGGACTGGAACTGAAAAGGTGCGTCCACTGCTTACACAGAAAAAGACAGTAACCAGCTTGATACTTAATAGCAGTTCTAGCGATTTACTAATGCCAAGACATTCAAGGGAGTTCGGTGTACATTTCTCAGGTACAGATGTCATATCTATGCTAAGAAAGAGTTCATTGCAAATACTTTTGATTGCCTAAAACATGCAGTAGTTTCTATGTGTCGTGATTTTGCCTAAAACATGCAGTAGTTTCTATGTGTCATGATTTGAAAATGTATATTTGGCTGGAATAAAATCAAGTTCCTGTTAAAGCCAAGTCATTCTGAAATTGTACTAACTCTTTATTTTCAGCCAGCCCTTTAAAAGAGTCCGCTGCATAAGAGATGCAGATTGAATCTGCTTCAATGGTAGGAGATCATATGTGGCACAAGACCATAAATGCCTGAATTAAGGTATTTCAATCAGCAGAAAGTTTTAATTTTAATCTGTCACAGAAATAAAACTCCAGTTTGCTCAGAAATAAGCATTTTTAACATATTATAAATCCACTGTCATTTTTAAAAAGCAAGATATTCTCAATGTGTTGTTTTGCAATGGAATATTTGGACACCATTGCACAGGATGTATGTAAGGAAACACACAAACGTGTTCTTATTTCAGTGAAGACCACACTGAAAACATGCACAGATGGAAAAACCTGCATCAGTGGATCCAGTAGGGGGTGGTTTCCTTCCTTATGTAGTGCTCACCTACTGGCAACAAGACATTCTCCTTCTCTTCCTTTCTCAACAGCCCTCTAGCTCATCTGAAACACCTCTGTGCAGTTTTCCATCCATCCTGAGCAGCTATGTAGGGTGTATGGGAGCTACATGGAGAGAAGATATAGCCTCCTCCCGGAAATGCCTTCTAATAGTGTATATTGTATACCCAATTGTTTCCTGATTAGCAGTCAGCAATTATGAAGTCAACAAAAAGTCCACTCACTGCCCATTAGTTACTTTTTACAGCACTGGCTCAACTTGATTCCAAAGTGCATGTTAAACTTTACACAGTTTAGCTGTCAACTGAATTTTCTTTCCACTGCCAGAAATCTGGGGAGTCAGTACCAGAAGAAACAGATCAACCACCTATGGAGAAGAGTATCCTGAAAAGTTATACATGAAAGGAAATAGAAGAAACCATAGTCACATGGACCATCTCAATGCCTTAAAAATGCTTGGGGTTTAAGCCTGTGGTGTCATAAAGTAAGATTTGTAACTTGCACCTACGTAATTTCAGAAATTTTTAGTTATCTGTTACAAGTTACAATTTTAACACCTTTCTCCACCACACAAACAAACTTCTATGAACTGGAACTCTACCCTCTCTTTTTTCCCTGTCTGACACCCACATAGTTTAGAAGCTAACAATGGAAACCTAAGGTAATTCTGTTCATATTCTGCATTTTTAAATGACATCTGCAACAGTGAGAAAACTTTACCATCATGTTCTCTTTTAGAAACACTCCTTTTCCAATCAGGGATGATGGATGCAACTACAGGATTGGATTCTCAAGTGAAGGGCAAGGGATATCTGTGAAAGAGGAGTCGTGAGTTTGGGGAGGGGACTGTTTCCCTCGCCATTGCTTTTCCTCTGCAACCCTCTTCCCTGCTTTGTCAGGAATGTTTTCTGGGCAAGTGGGGAAAAGCAGATGAGGAACAAGGAAGCAGCTGTAGAGGAAAAAACAAGAGGAAGACAAAGAGTCAGAACACCCTACTCTTGCTGTCTTAATTCTCCTTTCACAATGCTGCATTCCTATTTACACTTCTGGAAATAATCAAAGGCATAACAGTATAGTTCTGCAGCCTGTATATGAGGGTCATATTGGCTGAAATCCAGTAGTAAGTCACAATTAGAGCAGATCCATTGACTCAATGAAACCTACAGAGGAGTTGGCTCACACACCCCCATTGATTTGATAGGCCTCCTCTAGTTGCAATTTATTAATGGATTTCAGCCATTATTTTATCTTAATATTTACAAATATTTCATATCTATGTAATTGGTTACCACCATAAGCTACATGGAGCTTGGTGATCTCCTCTGAAGCTAATGGCACATTCACATTTAAATAACTGGTACACAACGTGTGCCAGAGAAAATACATGGCACTGAATGACCTTCTGTAGCTTAAAACATGACCTGGAATGTTAGAACAGGTATGATACAAAATAAAAATCAAGCTATGTTGCAAAACAAAACAAAAAAGAAAACTACACTCCAAACACACAACAAACACTCTTCATGCTGAAAAAGAGTATAAAAATATATTAATTGTAAACAAACTGACTTCTTATTTACCTTCTTATTAAGCCAATGCCACAGCTTGGGGAAAGGAAAGTGGGAAAACAGAGAAGAGAAAAAGACAAGAAGACAGGGAAGGATTATTGGAGAATGCAATTGTAGTGAAACAAAACACACAACATTGTTCAAGGAATGAAATAAAACCATTCCAGACTCAAAGGCTCATCACAGTAGGAAAGAAGTGGCATAGAAAACTTTAAAACAAATAAATATTTAACCAGAAAGAAAGCAAGGTGTATTTAGAAGACCACAGCACAGCTGATTGACACTAGTGTCCTTGAGCTCTAATTTAATGTCTAATGTTAATCAATCAGATGCAGACATTTTACATACAGAGGACAAATTGTGGGAGGCACTGTCTGGAAATAATTTTTAAAAGGATTCCATTTATCAGGGTGGAAACATTTTGCTCTGATTTGAAAAAATGAGCTATCAGAGATGGGGAGATAAATGAATACGCCTACAGACCAATGAGATACACGGAGCTACAAATCAGGGCACCACCAGCAGGAAGCACACAATGCTTGAAGATTTCCTGCTTCCTGCTGCTGAGTTGCTGATACTATGATATGCTACAGAGAATACAGACAGACACATACCTGCAGCAGATTCACCCACTGCTGAATGGTTACCCAAGATAACCTTTTAGATCATGTTTTATACTCTCAGCGAAGGAGGTTATAGTTGCTAAAGATGGACTGGTAATTCCAGGCCATGATGAGTACTGAAATCAAGGCAGACAGTTATGGCAAGAAAACAACTGATGCTGAATTAAATGAAAGGATGTCTCGTAAATACACTTGCCAAAGGTGTATTTGCAATCCTCCTTCCTACTCAAGCAACTTTATCAAGCACCTTTTCAAACCTTTTTAAACACCAGAGACTGCTCTTGCCAGAAAAAGAAAAACACATAAGGTACTTAAGAAAATATCATGCAATACACCAGTGTGGTTCAAAACACATCATCATCCTGTGGAAAAGCTCTCCTCACTTTGGACATGAATACTGCTTCTGATAAAGAACTCCTATGCTGAGTGAATGCTTGTGTAAAAAAAACCAGACCCAAAACAATCACACTTTTTCTGGCAAAGAATTAGCACTGACCTCCTTTCCTCCAGCATTTTGTTATCATTCTCTTCTCCCTATTTTTACCATGTTCGTACACCAGTATTATGGAATACTCCTTGACCTATGAGTATTCTATAGCCTCAAACAAGGACAAACTCAGGATCTTGAGAATTTCTATCCTTATAACTATGGCCTGCTGTTCCTCACTACAGAGCAGAATAGCTGTGTCCCCAAGATCCTTCCTGTAAAACGTCCTCCACTGTTGATTTAAACACAAGTGCAAATGACAGTGGCCAGTGGAGCACGCACGCCCCCCCGGGATAGATTGACTTTTGCTTCAGTTTACAGTGTGAATATTTTTTTTTGTATTTTGGTAGGTAGTTTCATAGTCCTCTATGCCCACCATTATTATGTGTACTCATACATTTCAAAACTCAATGTTCTCTCTCTAATAAACTGCTGAAATGATGCAGCTTCTCAAAGGATTTAAACAGTCTACTTCCACCATATTGTAAATGTCATGTATGTATGCTATAAATATGATTTCTCACAACATTATTTCCACCACATCTGCCATGTACTGAAAATCCCTAGGGTTTCAGGTTATGGCTGTCACTTTCTATATAGTATCAGAATACACACCACCATACATAATATATTTCACTGCCATGTGCAAGATAAATGCAAATTCAATCTTTCCTATACTTTTTTCTTCATTTTTCTGATTACAAAGAGCATAGTTTAGTTTCATATTTAACTTTGATGGGATGTTGTCTGAATAATATATTTTTAAAAGTTTATGACCTCTCTTTAATTAAGAGTCAGTCATAAGGAAATTATGTTTACATCACAATTGTTCTCTTTGTTACTGTTGTTTACTGTGGTTTCCCAATTCCTTCCCTCATTTCTCTAGCTGGACTAGCTGTACAATATGAAATGAGGGATAAAATAATAATAAAAACAATCAAAAAATCTGGCCAGAATTCTGTTGGATATTAGTGAATGTGCAAAGGCAATTGTGTGAATGATTTTTGCATTTTGCACAACCAAGCATGCAATCAACAGCCCACAAAGGTCTGACAGACATGTTATTATACACGCGGGACACCATTTGCATGACTCTCCTTGTACATGCAATAACATCCAACAAGATTCTGGCCTCTTATCATTACAGGACTCAAAATCTATTCATTATAAAATCTCTGTTGAATTTATAACTTGAAATGTGGTGTTTGTAATGACCCTGAAGAGTCTATCACAGTGCCAAATTTCACAGTGATTAGATAAAATTTGCCAGGCACAGGACATTTACAAGTGATGGAAATAGACGTATTTTTGTTTCCCACTTCAGTGTTTGCTCCGGCACATCATATACTCTATCAACTACTGATATACTTTGTTCAGGTCCATTGGGAAAGGCAACCCTTCATTGATCCCGTGATGTTCTAAACAGCAATTCAAAACTTAATAAAATTTTCTGTTTCCTTTAAAGCCTATGACAGCAATTCCTTCAAAAGTTTATCCTGAAGCTAAAATGCTGCCAGTACCCTTGATATTTTGGAAAGGAATTTGCTGCTGCTACATGCGGTGGGGAAATGTTTAATTCATTAGATGTGTGTTCATTAAATACAGTAATTCATTAAATTGTTTTGGAATTAAGAGTGAGAATGTGGGTTTTCATGCTGACCTCTAGTGGCACATCTTTTGCTGATTCCTTCAAAAGTGATCCTGTCAAGCACTGCCCCCACCCCAACCCCCCGAAGGACTTCAAATCCCTCGATACAGCTTTTGGATTGGGTTGAGGAGCTCCTACATAACTGGAAAATGTCAAGTCCTTGGTATTAAGAATTGTAACACCCATGGAGGCCAAAAAAGCCAACACTAGGAACCAAGCTTTCCCAGCACTGGCCTCTTCCCTTTGGAATGAGCTTCCTGCAGGGATTCACCACGGCCATCCCTCATAGTTTTTAGGAAACTAAATAGGAGAGAATTATATAAAGCAACCTTCTACTAGTGACTTGAAATGATCAAATGGGTTTTGTGTGTTTCTATTTAAAGGTAGGTTTTAGCTAGCCAAAGTGTTTGTTGTAGTTTATTGTATTTTTATAGTATTTATTACATGGTGGGGGCTTTTGTATGGTTTTATTGTATGTAAACCACATAGTGATAATACTAATGGGGATGTATAGAAGGTCGAAATAATGAATAAATAAAGAAGAAATAAATATTTAAAGTGAAAACAAGTATCAGTTGTCATACTTTCTCAAACGCTCTCAACTGCACTGCATCAGATCTCAGGCCTTGCTGCGCCTGCATTGTTTAATACCTATACAAAAGATGGCACTTGTGTGTACACAAACTGATACATTGTGTATGGAGTAAGCCCTAAAATTTCTATTGCATTTTATCAGTTAATGGAAAACCACCCTGAAAATGTTGAGTTGAACAGCAGCATAGAAATGTTACAAACATAGATCAGATTAGAATACAAATGTTTCACTAATGCCTTTTATACCTGCAGTGGCTAGCCAAGTACTACAGCAAGCAAAATGTATGCTGACCTGTGCATGGCAGCTATCTTTTATCTTTCCCCATTCTTTTATGGTCTGCTATAGCATATTTCACAATTAAGGTTAACAGGCCAGCCATTCTGATTACTATTTCCCACCTTCTGAAGAAAGGAGAGTGAAGCCCTGAGAATGGTGTAGAGCAGTGATTCTCAATAAATGGTACATGCACTACTGGTAGGACACAGAAATAGTATGCACGAGATACCGCATTTTATAATATAACATAATGGGACTGTTACTTTTGTTTGGTCATGCTTTAGCCACAGCAATAACATAATTAACAATGATACTACTGGATTTTTATTTATCATCTGTTTCACCACTATAACAGAAGTAAAATTTATACTCAATTATTCCCACTACAATTTTCAGTTACTAGTGAAATTATTTTTGTTTTTTTATGTCTACTTCCAACAATAGTACTTCGATTTCAATGCACTTAAAAATTAGCACAAATGCTAAATATTGTAACAGAAAATCTGTAAACATATAAATGTCCTTCTTGGAAAAGTGAGTTTTTTTTTCTTTCTTTCATGGTGGGACGGTGTGGGTTCTTTGATAGATGAGTGCAACACATTATAGGAAATGTTCAGAACTACTAGTCTCAAGAGAGGTGTCTGAGACAGGAAAACGACAGCTCGGTGGTTTAGATTTCTGGCTGTGAAGCCAGAGGTTGGGAGCTCGATTCCCCACTGTTCCTCCTTAACAGTAGCTGAACTCGATCCATAGGGTCCCTTCCAGCTCTGCAATTCTAAGGTGTGGAACTTGTTAGACTTTTGGACTGGAGATCAGTGGGGCAGAAATCATTCAATATTGTGGGGCATGTTAAGCCGCCTAGAGTGGTCGTATTGACTAGATAGGTGGGGTATAAATAGAATAAATAAACCAACCAACCAACCAACCAACCAACCAACCTCTGGCCTACCAAGGTTCAGTTTTATTCCTTGATTATAGAAAACAGAAACTGATTTGGATCTTGTCTTCTGCAAACAGGAAATGCCTCTCACAAAAACAACTCTAAGTAAAGGCTCACAATAGCAGAATTGGGGAGATGATTTTGCCAATTATTTCTTTTTCCTGGATCCTCCATAGCCTCCAGCAGTATTCCAAAAGGTATTCAAATTCTCCACAGAAGGTTTTCAGCATGCATAGAGAAAATCACTGAGCAATCATCTCCCTTCCTTACTTCCCTTGGAGGGAACACTAAATTCCACTTATAAGAACTTAGGATCTAACCATAGAATGTAAGAACACAAGAATACTATCTATAACCTCAGAACCCTATCTGTTTAATTACCATCAGGATTTCAACACTAGTATATATTCACAAAAGTAGATACAATTGTATTTCTAAGCAGAAATAGTTTAAACTGGAGAAGTTTAAAAAGTAACTTTAAATACCTTACTGTCAAGTTTTAGGATGACTCTTCCAAGCCCCTTGATTGGCCTTGGGGCAAGAGCTTCCTGACGCTCTCTCACGAAGTCCTCCAGGACATGCCACCAACCGCTGCAGTGAGTCACCAAGAATGTAATTACTCCAAAATGGACCACAATTTTTTTGACAACCCACACTGTAACCATTAAAAGAAAGAGCAATTAAGGAAGGAATTACTGTAGCAACATTGCAGTACTCCAAAACACCTGTATTTTGTTTGCTTGCTTGTTGAAAAAAAAGGTTCAGTCCAACTGAAGCAAAGATCATACAACCAGGACTTTCTGAACACATATCATATCTCAAATCTTTCCAACTGATTGTTTTAATAAGGTATAGTCAGTAGTTAAACAAATTTGAGTAGATTGAGCAATCTACAGACCTCTGGATGCTGCATGACTACACCCCGATAACCTCTCAGTAATGGGTGTACTGACTATATCAAAGAAGAATGGACAATTACCAGCATCTGGAGACCAATATACTGTATTGCCAACATCAGAGCTAGTCTCAGGCAGGCATATATCCACTGAACTGTTCATCTACCATGAATCAACCAAAATCAAAATGACAATAGGCATTCAAGGCCTCTTTCACTTAGGCCTCTTTCACTTCAATTAATGCATTTTGAATGGTTTTTATTCAATGTTTATAGTTAATAGATCAACCATAGAGCTATGTTTCTCCTAAAGAAGAATGTGTCATTGCCAATTTAGCAGTAAGATTTCATCATGGCAAATACTCTCTGATATTCAATGATTGTGCAAGATTTAAATCCAATGAAATTTACTGGGAAGTTCTGCTTTCTGGTGGCCACATGAAACAAATGCAAAGGGGCACGTTTAAAGATTGAGTAAAAACAGTTCAATAAATCACAAATTAAGTAATAAACAAACCCCAAAAAACAGAATTAGATTTTGTTCCAAAACGTTCCCTATTAAATAGTCTAAAAAACTTAATTGTGTATTATAAAACTCTGACAGTTTCCTGCAAATAAGCCAATGTGTTCATAAAACTGTGAAGATCAAGGAAAGAAATGGGATTTCAGTTCCTCTGAATCCTAAACAGGTAGTTCTGGGGGATATGAAAGTCTTTGGCAAAACTGAGAAAATGAAATTAATTTTCCTGCTTTTGAAACAGCATGATGCATAACTGCAATCCATTGGACTAGAGCAGGGAGATGTATCACAAACTAAAATAGGAGAAAATTAAAATTTGATTGAATAAATGAGGAAGAACGGAGGAAGATGTGGAAAATGAGATTTTTAAGATTTATGTCAGTGAGAATAATTTTTTAAAAAATGAGCTTAAGATGGCATTTAACACCTACAAAATTAAATAAAATTAACGCTAGTTATCTGAATGTCTGTTGGAAATGTAAGAAGGAAATTGGAACATACTTTCATATCTGGTGGGAATGTGAAAAAGTACAAAGATTTTGGAAACTAATCTTTAAAGAATTAAATGACATATGTGAAAAAATATAGAACTTAATCCTGAGATTGCTTTGTTACCAATATTTGAGAATGTGGAATATGATAAGATGACTAAAGAATTGATTTATTAACAGCAGCTAGACTAATAATAACCAGGCAACAGAAATCAAAATCTGAATTTCGAATGGACGAATGGTACAATGAAATATGGAATATAGCTTTAAATTGTAAGTTAAATTGTAACCAAAAGGTTAAGAAAGGAGAGATGAAAAAGAATAATTTTATGATATATGGGACAGATTTTTGGAATATGTGCTAACAAGAGGAAAAGGGAAAACTCCAAATCAAGAATCAATGCAGTTCTGGAGGACAATAAAAGCAGAAGAATAGATGGAGGAAAAAGATTTTTGCAAGAGGTCCTGTCTATGGTGGTGGGGAACACAGTCTATTTGTATTTTGGTTTATGTATTTTATGTTTAAAATAAAAAAATAAAAAAATTGATTGTTAGATGTCCAAATTGGCATATTTTGCTTGATAAAGATAGCAGGATAAATGTATTCTCGAAGGCTTTCACAGCCGGGATCTGATGGTTCTTGTGTTTTTCTGGCTGTTTGGCCGTGTCCTGAAGGTTTTTCTTCCTAACGTTTCACCAGTTTCTGTGGCTGGCATTTTCAGAGGAGTTAGAACTCTGTGTTCTTTTGTTGAATTTCTGTTTTTGCCTGGCTGTGTGGTCCACCATGTCTTTTTCCAGCTTTCTGTAGGAGAGACTATCGATCTTGTCCCGATCATGACTTCTCATTTTTTGGCTGATATTGAGGTGTAGGAATAGTAGTTCTTTGTGTGTGGAGTCGTTTTTTGTGGGTTGTGTGGATTCTTTCTTGGAGGAGGGCATGTTCCAGGTGGTCATAGATGTGGCTAGCTTGTGGGAAAACAAAGGCCCTTATTGTCCTGAGGATGGCTGGTATGTTTTTTGTCTCTGCAGCGTAGTAGAAATGTTAAGGAACATAGTAGGTGTGCTCTTTTGCTTTGGAGTGTTTCCAGTCTCTGGGTCTGTTTGACTGTTTCCTCCCCATAGAAGCGTTCAATGTATTCTCCAAAGCTTTCACGGCCAGGATCTGATGGTTATTGTAGGTTTTTCGGGCTGTTTGGTCGTGTTCTGAAGGTTTTTCTTCCTAATGTTTCACCTGCCTGTTAACATATCGGGATCCAATTTTGTTAGTTTATATAGTCTAGGGTATAACTTTTGTAGTACTGTATGCCATCTGACTAGTTATACATAATTCATAATAAAAACAACAATATAGATATTCCGAAGGGTACATAAATCTCTTACAAGGGCAGAGGGAAGAAACATTCCTTTTGTTCAACAGCTCACCTCTTGGATGTCGGAATTACACAACTGCTCTGCATGGAAATGTAACAGGCTAGCAGAAGATGGATGGAGAGCAACATTCCACGCATACAGCAGCAGCCCATTTCGTTCCTGCATTGTGTTAGACAATGCAAAATCTCCACACCAAGTATAAACAGCATGGCAAAGGAACAGCCTGCTTGAGTTGAAATTGGGCCATTATATTTGAAATCATTGATAAAAAACAAACACTTACATTTTAAATATTTCTGCACTAGCTAAACTTTATTAGAATACAGTGGTGCCTCGCTTAACGAGTGCCCCGTTTAACGATGAATCCGCATAGCGATTAGTTTGTGATCGCAAAAGCGATCGCATGGCGATGTTTTAGACGGACAAAAATCGCTTTGCGATGATTGGTAAGCGTTTCGCTTACCGATTTTTGCACAGTGATGTTTTAAAAACAGCTAATCGGCGGTTTGATGTTTCAAAAACAGCTAAACGGCGGTTCCAAAATGGCCACCGGGGGGAAAAATGGCTGCACGCCGTGTTTTCGCGCCCTTTCCTCGCTTACCGGGCAACGAAAATGGCGGCCGGATGGAGGATTTCTACATAGCGATGAGTTTTTGGCGAAGTCTACTTTGGCAAGTAATAGCTGTAATAAATGAATCTGAATTTTACTAATGAGTCAGTTGATGCAGGTTCTGATGGTTGGATGACAGTTACAGATTACTGGTGGATGCAGGATGATGAGTCTGAAAAGGGAAGACCTCTGCTTTCTCTCCAATATAGCCTGACTTTTCACTGCATATTCACATCAGGCACTGCTAGGATTTTTAAAAACTAAAAATAGTAGATGCATAGGTCTTACTTAATTAGCAAGTCAGGGCATTCAATACAGATACAGTGGTGCCTCGCTTAGCGATCGCTCTGTTGAGCGATGAAATCGCTTTGCGATGGACTTTTGGCCATTGCAAGAGTGATCGCTTTGTGATGGCCCCTATGGCTAAAATTCGCTTTGCGATGATCGCAGGGAAGCGATCATGGCAAAGCGAACTTTTTTAAACAGCTGATCGGCAGTTCCAAAATGGCCACCGCAAAAAAATGGCTGCCGCTGTTTTGCCTCGCTGTAGAGGTACCCAAAATGGCCGCCACTATGGAGGAAATTTGCTTTAAAGTAAGTTTTTAGCCCATAGGAATGTATTAAAAGCGTTTTAATACGTTCCTATGGGCTTTTTAAAATCGCTTAGCGATGAAATCACTTAGCGATGTTTTTTCCGGAACAGATTAACATCGCTAAGTGAGGCACCACTGTAATCTAAATTCCAAAATGTATCTTTCAGGGTCCTATCATGTGAAAGTTCAATGAGTTATTTATCCTTTTTCAAGAAGACAACTTTGGGACATCAGCTGCAAAGTTTCAGTCCAACTTCAGTTTTCTTCAGCAGAAAAGCTATGAACAAGTTTTCTACATAGCAAATACATGCTTAAGATTAGTTTTAATCTTATCTGATTTACAAATGAAACAAGAGGTTCTGTCAAAAGCAGAAAAATATTCATTATTCTCTGCTGAATGGAGTTATCTCCAGAATTCCATTTTCCTTCTGAAAGCCATGGCTATGTAATTAAGCTCCCACCCCCACCCCCCACTCTACCCTGCAGGCTTAAGTTGATTCATTCAGATTGCCAGGCACAACAATGAGGTATGCTCATTATGCAAGTCTGTCCATGTTGATCATATGATTTGCTAGTCCAGACTTCTTGTATGAAAGAAATCTACATATTTCTTCTTTGCAATACAAAAGCTTGACAGTCAATGAATTTCTATTTCAAGTGCATATGTTCAGAATCTATTCCCAGTATGCTCTGAAGTACTTCACCTAGTTATTTGCCTACCATTGTTTTACAGTGTATGAGACAGTTATCAGATGCAGAACTGGGAGCAAGTAGTGTTTTTTTAACTGTCTTACTGTAGTTATTCTTTTGTCACTTTTTGCACCCTTTTAAGGAGAAAGGGGAGGTAGAAATATTTTATATAAATAAATAAAGAAGGTGGCCAGCAATATGTTCCAGTGGACAGTGATGAAAGAGCCAAGTTTAGACTACAATGTAATGCACACGCTAAGGGAAGTGAAAATATTAAACAAGGATTTTTAGTCTAGGGTGTGGTGGTATGTGTTAAGGACAAACAGGGAATGAAATAGCCCACAAGATAAAGGACCACAATTTAACCACAAAACGAAGTGCCATGGTGAACTGGGGGTGCAAATGGGGTTAAGAACTACTGAAAACATATACTGTATAATTTTGGTATATAATATACGTCAAGACCTCTGACAGCAAAATATGAAAAATGATTCTCCACTTTCCCACTTTCATACCTGGGACAAAGAATAATACAGTGGAACCTCTACTTACGAACGTCCCTACCTACGAACGATCCAACTTACCAACAGCTCCGTTCGCAAAATTTTGCTTCTACTTGCAAACGGAGCTTCAAGATACAAATAGCCCACAAGATAAAGGACCACAATTTAACCACAAAACGAAGTGCCATGGTGAACTGGGGGTGCAAATGGGGTTAAGAACTACTGAAAATATATACTGCTTCTTTGTGCTGTAGCTCTTTCGGCAGTTATAGTGTGTGTCGCAGTTGGAAGCTTGGGAGAGCCTCCTGCTTCAGAGTGAGCTTGTGTGTGTGTCTGCAGGGAGGTAAGCTCCTGTTTTCTTCTTTAAAAAAACTGTTCTAGGTGGGTTTTGGTGTTTCTGTGCTATGTAGTTAGTGGCTCTGCTTCGGAGTGAGTATGTGTGTGTGTCTGCAGGGAGGGTATGTTTCTGTGCTCTGCTTCGGAGGAGTGAGTGTGTGTGTGTGTCTGCAGGGCTATGGAGTTTTTTTCCCCTTCTTAAACCTCAGCAACGGAGGTGGCGCTAGTGTTTGTTTCTTTTTGAGTCTTTTTCTTAAAGCCTCAGCAACGGAGCACCTTCCGACTGGGCTTGCTGTGCTCTTTTTATTTTTTTAGTGATTTTTCTTCGGCCGGAACAGATTAACCGATTTTCAATGCATTCCTATGGGAAATGGTGCTTCTACTTACGGCCATCGTTCCAAAACGAATTAAGTTCGTAAGTAGAGGTTCCACTGTACTAGTAATATATGATTGGTTTTATTTGATCCATCTTCTGCAAGGTTCTTATTGATTTGGGGCCTTTCATCTAGCTGAACCTGTTCTACCTTCCAATATAAGAAAATAGTGAATAACCTGCAATTGGTATTGGCAGCAGCTGAATTATCCAGAGATTTGACCAGATCTGCACTATTACAATGGCCCATCCAAGCAGGATAAAGTAGATGTCACTGGTTTTCTTCTTTTTAAGAAGTGTTCCAATCACAAGTTTCTGTCTGCCACTTGGAGTGGATGAGGATGATGAAGAAGGGTTGTCACTTTCTACAGGTCCTAAAAGGAGTGAAAATGTCATATTTACATATTCAAGAACAAATATTTTCTGGTGTATTAGCAAACTTGAACTTGAACTGCTGTTCAGAAGGACATTGATCACAAACATTTCTAGCATTATTGCCATTCTGGAAGGCTCACTGTCAGTCTTATATAAAATTTATGCAAATGTTGATGTCTGTAATAGTCCACTATCATTCCCCACATACCCACAACTAAATTTTAAATAAGCATTTCCTAATACAGAAAAAAAATCAAAGTTTAAAATTAATATTATTTCCCACTGAATAATTTTAATGAATTTGCTTCAATATTTAAATGTATAGGTTGGCTCAACATGCAGGAGATTTCTGTTGAAAAAGCCTAGTGTAATCCAGGTACACCAAAATATTAAACTAGTGTTCTCCTACTAGCAATTTATTTGTATCTGTTCAGACATTACTCCAGACAATACACCAAACCATAGTTTACAATCAGGGGGAAAAAGAGATTACAGTAAAAAAAAGAGATTGGCATGGGTTTGCCACCCACAGCTTGGCATGATGTCTGAATTTATAAAACACTATGGACATTGACCCACTTCCAGCTGTCACTCTATCTAGAAACAGAAGTAATGAACAGGCAAAAAGAAAAAGAAAAAGAAAAAAAGAAACCAGACAAACAGCTCTATACCCATACCTTCAAATGCTCGCTTCTGCAAAATAGAGATAACATCAAAACACAGAACTGTATTCTGAAAACAGCACTGCAATGGTGTGCAAAAAGCTTACTAAGAATACATTCTTCATACAAATAAGTTTTGTTTTAACATGACATAACATAAAAATGTATAACAAACAGCAGTCCTCAGATAAATGGGGGATAGAACCCCATATGAAACAGATCAAATAGTCTCAATGCAGTGAATATAGCAGTGTACAGATAGTTTCCAGGTAAAACCTAGCCAATGTCCTTGAGCCGTAACTTAAACAGAAAGGAATAATTAACTGCATCCAATAAGATTAGACAGGTGAGTTTGTTAAAAATTGGGTTCTACGCTGCTGAATTAATAAACTAATACATTTGGCCATCTGTCTGGTGTAAGTTTTATTCACACCTAGCAGAAGATTGTACAAGATTGCCTTCTCTGCCCATCTGGTAAGACTAACAAGGACTGATTCCAGGTGTGAAGAGTGAATGGCATTGTACACTGCACAATAGAGAAACATGCTCCAGGGATTTTATGAACCCGGAGTTACAAGGGCAGAGCCGTGTTTCCAGAGGTTGCAAATTAAATCTACCATATAAAACATTGGATGGAAGTACAGTACATCTGGCTATGGCGAATCTATGGCACACATGCCACAGCTGGCACGCGGAGCCCTTTCTGCAGACACACAAGCCATAAGTCGCTGGATCGCTACTCCCCCCCCCGCACAGCCAAACCTGAGAAGGCAGCTGCAGCCGCGGTGCTGGCACTTCAACAGGCAGATCTGGCGCAGCAGGCACTGGCAGCGGATCCAGAGTGGAGTCTCCAGGCATCTCCGTGCTGGGATTCCCCCTTCTGCTGCCACTTCTGGTTCCGCTGCTGCGGCACACCACCCACTGGTCGTTCCCCCCCCCAAGTTTGGGCACGCGAGCCCAAAAAGGTTCGCCACCACTGGGCTAGGGTGAAGGTCCACCATTCATGTGGGTTCTCTATGCGATGTAGATAAAAGACTGATTTATTAATATATAATGGCAATTGTAAGATTTAAAGGTAAGCATACTTTGCGGGCTGCCACAGTAAGTTGCCTCCTGATATCCAGGAGTCTCTCTTTCAGCAGTCTATAAGACTGAGCAAAAGGTAGAGCACTTAGGTGGTCTAGGGGAGGGGTCCCCAACCCCTGTTCTGTGGCGTGAGCCGGACCGGGCCGCAGAGACAGATCTCCCACCCTCCGCATGCACTCCCACCCCCACACAGCTCCTTCGTGCGTGCACGCGAGTGCCCCCACCCCTTCGCAAGTGTGCAAGGGGCCTCCGAGCACCCCCCCCGCCCATTGCACATGTGCCTTCCTCGACTAGTTTGTGGAGTTTAAAAGGTTGGGGACTGGTCTAGGGAGATACCCATGGTTTGTGCCTTTTGTATGAACAGTTTTAAACCGGGAGAATGTAAAGCATTAGACAAGACACCCATAATTAAGGGGTCATCAATGTCCACAAAGTGCCTCGACTTACAAACGTCCCTATCTATGAACACTTCGACCTACGAATGACTCTGTTCGCAAAAGTTTGCATTGACTTGCGAACGGAGCCTCGCCCTATGAACGGAAAAAAAGGCAGGGGGAACGGGAGGGAAATTCAAATTTCCCCTACCTTTTTTTCGTTCCATTCAAACCGTTGGTGGTGAAGAGGCTGCTCTTTCTCCCCAACAGTTAGGAAAAGGGACCACTCTGATGGCAGCGGGGAAGCCCTGGGAGACCTCCCGGGGGTCCCCACCACTGCGATCGAAGGCAGCTGTTACCCAGCGCCAGGAGGCTCGAGCTGGCCGGATGCTTGGCTGCTCACCCTCGGCTGCAGCGGAGACAGCAGAGCACCAGGAGGCTCGAGCTGGCCAGGCACTTGGCTGCTCATCCCTGGCCGCAGCAGAGGCAGCGTAGCACCGGGAGGCTTGAGCCAGCCAGGTTTCTTTGGCTGCTCACCTCCCGGCTCACCTCTGCTTGCTTCTCGCCGCCCTACACCATTTGAATTTCCCACCATCGGCCCACAGAGGATGGCACAGAGCAAGTGGAGGGCGAGCTGGGAGGCGAGCGACCAAAGAAACCCGGCCAGGCTCAAGCCTCCCAGAGGCAGCAGTCACAGGCTTCGGACACGTAAGGTGCTCCTTTTTCCTTTTACAAAAACTGTTCTGAGTGGGTTTTGGAGAGTGGGTTTGAACTGGGGGGATTATGTTTCTGTGCTGTGTTGTGTTGTTTTGTTTTTGGATTTGGTTTTTGTTTTTCTGTTTTTGGGGGGTTTTTTTTGCAGTCCCAGTGTGGGACTTGCTCTGTTGTATTTTTATTTTTATTTTTTATTTTTGGAAATGCTGGAATGGATTAATTCCATTCCCATGCATTTCAATGGGAGATGGTGTTTCGACTTATGAACTTTTCAACGTACGAATGCCGTTCCACTGTATTCTTTGCCAATATTTAAAGTGTCTCAGCCATGTTTGTGTTCCCAATCTGATTAAACCTGTTTCCAGGCATAGAGCTGCATATGCCACACAATGAGGCACAACAAAGATATTGCAAAGAAAAGTGGCCTTGAATCTTTCCACCGAGGAGTTAAAGGCATCCAGCTAGATCGCTAAGCCATACAGCCTTGTCTTTGAACACCCGTAGGGCAGCAGGAATAGGTGTACTGCCCCATACGTGAAAGAAACAAAGTTTTGCTTGCACTGTCAGCTTTACCGAATTAATAATTGTGGCGTTCGCACCTTGTGCCCCTGCCTGACTTCCCAAACACAGAGCACACGAAGGCAAACCAATACTCCTATTTTACCCGCTGCCACCAGTTAATCACTAAATCAACATTAATTATGGAAGGACGAAGATGAAGGTCGAAACTTCACTGTCTTTTAAATAAAACTTGTTTATTGATTACAGGTTTGATTATTAATCATAGGTAACTTCTACAGGTTTATTAATCATCAATCTCAACCTTCTATTGGTTATAACAGTTCTTATTCATTCTTCACTCTAATCACACCTCAGATCTCCCAAATATCACACTCTATCTCTCCACTCTCTCTCCCTCCTGACTCACTGAGTGTTCACTCTCTGGCTCCACTTCTTTATTACATATCTCTTGGCGCCGTCTCTTAGCAACATTAGCCTGCAACATGAATATGCATGACTGCTTAACATAATAAGGGTGAACGCTACAATAATGGATTTGCAATGTCTAGCCTATGAGTTGCGATAGTGAAATGTAAGCCCTATGTATTTAAATTCTTTTACCTGCTGGATAGTTTTCCAATGGAATATCCAAGATTGAGACTTCCGGCTCTTACTGAATATGGCTATTTTAGATTTGCCATAATTAACAGTTTGTTATGGGAAAGATAGTTAACATAGTTTTCAGTTAGCCATTTAAGGCCAATCTTAGTATGTGATAGTAGTACCATATCGTCAGCATATAGGATGGGAACTGCCTGGGAACCCAGTCTAGGACGACGACTAATAACCTCCAACAAGGAAGGAGCAAGATCATTGATATACTGTACAGGTTACACAGGGTGGGGGTAAAAACGCAACCCGGTTTAACAACCCTATTCATGAGAACCTGTTCAGAGAGGCTGGATAAACAAATGCGGCATGTGTGATCCGTATGCAGAGATCAATAGTAGCAATCTCCTAGCCAACAAGAACAGATGCACAGGTTAGGCTCTCCACTGTTTTAAGATTTTAAAAGGCTGTTTTAGTCACATCTTACTATTTGAGCAGGAAACTGATTGCTGGTGTACAGTGCCAGGAACAAGTCTGAGTCCTTAGCCAACAAAGTTAGGGTGTTTTCTGTTTTAGTTCAGCTTAGTTTTATTTTTATATTTTTTTAAAGTAAACAGCCGTACTACAAGAACCATAGAGCTACAGTCTCTCAATGGCGTTTTCTATTTTAGTTCAGCTCAGTTTTATTTTTATCTTTTTTTAAAGTAAACAGCCGTACTATAAGAACCATAGAGCTACAGTCTCTCAATGGAGGAGGTGCTGATAACTTGTTTGAATGTAGTCCTGAATTTAACCGACTTACTAATGCCCACAGCTGTGGGGATTTTGTTTTACTATTGATGTTTTGTTTTTTACTCAGCTTACATCGAATTTAAGTTCATGCAATGTCTTATCTAAGTAGCAAATTTTATCCATTTAAAAGATTCTCGACAAATACAGACAAAACGAAGCTCTACAGTGGACCTCCGACTTACAGAATTAATCCATATTGGAATGGTGGCTGCAGGTCGAAAAGTTTGTAGGCCGAGGCTCCATTGACCTAAAATGCATTGAAAAATGATTAATCTGTAAGCAGCTGTTTTTGTTCCATTTTGGTTTGGTTTTTTTTCGGTCTGTAGGTCGATTCTCTGGCTGCAAGTCGAACCTAAATTTTGCAGCCAGAGAAGTCTAACTTGAAAAGTCTGTAAGTGGAGCCATCTGTAAGTCGAGGGTCCACTGTATA